TATATATATTAACTTAAAGTGGCGGCGGCAGAATATTGACATTCTGTTCTTCTCCTCAAAATTTGTGTTCTATTGCTCTTCCATCTCTCTTTCTTCTACATCTTCTTCACTTTCTCTTCTCATCGAACCTAAAATCTCTTAGTGATCAAGACTGAATAGCAGTCTTGAAAACCTACAAATACCTTATGTAGGACCCATATGTCTGATATATTTATGTATGATCACATACTTTTTTGCCAATTAAAGTAGGGCTGAATAGGGTAAGAATCGTAAGATGCTCTAAAGTGCTTTTGCCATGTTGCAAGGTGTTGTGCATGACTCTTCAGATTTTGTAAAGAATGTTTTTCGTAAAAGACTAATTATAAGTTAATTGTAATATTTGTGAGTTATTTTACGTACTGTTGTGTATGAGCATTATGTTATTTTTCACTTTTATTTTACTTGATTCTATTGTATGTGTTACTCTGTCACATGGGCTTGTCAGCTAAATAGGAGGCCATGTTGCCTTGTGGTCAATTTTGTCTTTAACTGCCTTGCTCCCAGAACCCGCTATATCTGAAGAACATTACAAGGATGTGGAATGTAGTTTTTTGTTTTTTAATTCAAGAATATGGTTTTCCATGACAAGTCTTTGTAACTCTGTATATATGCTCAGATTCCTTACATTCTGATAGAAACTTACCTTCTCCTGATTATAGGCACAAGTTCTGATGCACCAGGGGAAAACATACAAGGCCAATTCCTTGACAAATCACTCCTGTCTCAAATTCAACCCAAACGAAAATTACCTTCTTTCTAGATTTTGCAAACTAAAAAGGCTATTACCTAATGTTGGTCTAGACTGGATATGGTCTTAACTTTTGGCAGTTTTTTCACAAAGTGGCTGCTCTCAGACTTGAACCTGCATTCTCATGTTTGCGAGCCCAAGATTTTGCAAACTACCTGCCAATCAATAATGATCCTTTGAAACATTTCTGGTGATATTTTGATGATTTATAGGGTAAACATCCTTATCTAGACCATGCAATTTTTGTGCAGGGGGCATTGGCATTTTACATATTTCAATGATTGGTAAAATCATTATCCTTATCCATAACAAAAAAGGCATACGGTATCTATCAAAAAAAAACAAAAAAGGCATACAATATCTATTTCTTTTTATCAATTACACTAGCTTCATTAAATTAAAAGAAAAGAGGGAATATGGATTCAAGAGGGGAGATAAAATATCTTAGCTCCCTGAAAACAGAAAACAAAGGGAGTGCAAAGAGAAAAAGATTAAAAACTAGCCCAAAAAACAGACTCCCTATTCACTCCTTGCTTGGCCAACCCATCCGCAAATGAGTTGGCACTCCTCTTCACCCAGTTGTACTGAATCTCAATGTCCCTACCCAGCCA